TGATGTCTGCGTAATTACTGTAAACTTCAAGGAAGATTTCTGTGTTTTTTTTATTTTAAGTTTAATTCGTTAGAGAGAAAATTAATAAATTTATTGGCCTCCGTTTGACTCCTATTATTTGAGATTATAATTTTTGGAATATTGTATTTTTCAAGAATGTGATTAAAAAAGAAGAAATTTTTTTGCGTTTATGTATAATATCATTTTATTGAAAAAAGTATGATTGGTAAGAAAAGGAAAAAAATGGATTACAATGGTGACCAAATGGTATTTACTCAACGAATAATGTTATTTGCAGTCGTCCTATGTGCCACACATATGTCATGTGTGTATTTAATGCATTAATGTGGTAAAAAAAACTACTACATTAATGCATCAAATAACTACATGTCATATGTGTGACACATATGACGACTGTTGCAGTTAGTGATTATGAATAGCATTACTTTACTCAACATCTAGAAAATTGGTCTCTAACATCTAGAAGATGAAAGTAGATCATTCAAAGTTAGATTGGGGTTAAAAATAAATAAATTCAATTTTAGCACCAAATGCTTAGAAATGTAGTAGCTCTTTCTCATGATCCCGAGTGTCGCTCGTCAATTTAAGCCCGGTTTGTTTTTCATTCTTTCAAAATTCTTCATTCATATGCTTATTTTCAACAATACATTTATACAATAAAATATTCTACACGTAAACTTAATTTTTTTCCCAACATATTCTCCAAAAAAATCACTATTTTAAATAATATTTTTTTCAAAAAATATCGACCAAAGGGATAAATAAAATGACCAATAACAGAGCTTATTTTCTGCTCTTCTATTAAGTTATTACGTGTAATGAAGCGATTCTCGTCCTGTGTTTAACTCTCGACTTGTTCGTTCCGGATGATTTGCAAAAATAATATTTCCCTTTTGCGTAAAATATAATTAAAAAAGTTGTTAACCTTTTGTTTTACTGTTTCCTCTTTCCCCTCCAGATTTCCCTTTCTTTTCCCTCCATGCCATATATATCTCAACTGTCAATGTAAAGACTAGTCTTGGGTCAATACTCAATATGGATAGACAAAAGGAGGCCATAATGAAAAAAAACAGAGATAGAATGAGGGCTAAAGGGAAGATTTGTTAGTGGTAGCCGGTAGGGCATGTTTGATAGGATTTTTGAAAAGTTAAAAGTTGTTTTTAAAATTAAAAAATTATTTTTCAACATATTTGGATAATATTATCAAAATGTTTTGTTTGACTAAATTGAGTTTTTTAGAGGAAATTAACTAAGTAATTTACTCATATATATATATATACACACACACACAGAAATGATCTAA